TACTTCTGGGGCCCGTCCTGACTCTAAGAGTAGATGTCCCACTGCTAGTGACTCCAAGGGGAGTGTTCAAGTGCCACTTCCTCCTTGCTGCCCGGTGGCTGGTTTGATGTGGGATAGAGTCAGCAGGTTTTGAACTTTGTTCTCAGTTTCACCCAGGGCAAATTACTGGTGCCTTGGCTTTCTCATGCTTGTAAATTAGAGCTTACAAGCTGTGTGGGGAGCAGCCTCTGCCCCCAAAGGGGTGACGTCATGTCTAGGGGCCATGGTGTTTTCCCTTGGGGATGTACACCATATTAAGTTGATGGTGTGCTTCTGACTTGATGAGGGTGACAGGCCAAGCCACCCTCACGAATCATTGAGGTGACTTGCCCTCAGCTGAAGAGCAAAGGCGCTAGATGGGCTCTTCCTGTCCGAGGAAGCCAAGGCCTCCTTGCACAGCTAGCTGATGGGGTTGGTGGAGTTTGGAGCAGTGGTAGTGGAAGTCCATGGCCCATTGAGAAGGGCAGGAGGAAGTAGACTTGTGTACCTCCCCAGAGGCTTGATGGCTCTGTTAGGCTGAAGTCTCATGGCTTGAATCTCCTCCCTGAGTCTGCGCAGCTCCCTCAGAACGGACAGAAGGGATGCCAGATGCTGGGCAGGGTAGGCTTTGCCTGGGTTTCTGTGTGAGGTGACCTGTGGGAAATGCCACCCATCCCTTAGGGACATACTCAGCCAGGAGCCCTCCTGAAGGTGGAGCTGCTGAACTGTCGGCTTGGGCCTTGTTCAGGTTCTGAGCAGTTAGGAATTAGGGGTGGAGGGTCCATGGTGGTGCTTGCACCCTGCTTATGTAATTTCACTCACTCTGCAGTATTGGAGCACACCGGAGACCCTTCAGGCTTAGATCCTAGCAAACATGCCTTGTAGAAACAGCATAGTGAGATGGTGTCCTGCTGGCACAACCATCTGCAGTGGGACAGTGGTTTTAAGGAAGGAGCCTTCTACAATAGCTCAGGGACCTGTGCATGCTCGTTCTCTGTCCCTCGAGGAACTGGCAGGGCCTGGTGATCAGCTGTGGATACTCATGGGGCTTCCCGCACGGGGATTCTCTTGTAGAAAGAGTGCATTGTTCAGTGTGTCTGCTGCATGCCGGCCCCATACTTACTGGCTCTGAACAGCTGGATTCTCTTGGACATAATCAGAATTTCTAGAATAGTTTTGTGTATGTGTATGTTTATCTTCTTTTTATTTTTTTGGTTGCAGTACTGGGATCAGATACAGGGATAACTCTGCCACTGAGCTACATCCCCAGTCCTTTTTATTTTTTATTTTGAGACAGGGTCTTCCTAAGTTGCCTAGGCTGGGCTTGAACTTGTGATCCCACTACTTCAGCCTCCACAAGCACTGGGATTACAGGTGTGTTTCAATACCAGCTTAGCTATTTTTCAGTACATACATCACTTGCCTGCCTTTAGTTGTATACAGTTCTATGAAATTTCACATAAATGTTAAATTTAAGGTTGCTTTGGGACAAAACTGTTGTGTTTCTAACCAGTTCCTTCCCTGGCTCCCTGGCCTGATCATTGTTCCCTAGTTTAGGAATGGAGTAAATTTGTGGAGAACATTGGTGCAGATTACAGAGCTGCCTCAGTTTGGGAATAGAGAAAAGAATTGTGTGTTTAGGATCAGAACACCTGTAGTTTGAGCCTTGGCTTTGTGGCTACTGAGTAAGATGTTTAATGTGGTTGGGTGATTCCCTCCCTAGGCTTCAATTTCCTCATTAGGAAAAAAAAAAAAAAACACCTTGTTGCGGTGGAATGAGAGTTCTTCAAAATGGCATAGCAGTGAAACTGTACATCTCCATTAGTGATCCTTTTATTTATTTATTTTTTTACCCCCTTTGTTTCCTAAAGATTCCTTGTGTTGTCCTCATCTTAACTTCTATTTTCAGATAGCAGCCTCGAGTCTTAGCAGCCCCTCAGTCCCCTTCAGTAAGGGGCTATATTAAGGACAAAATTCTTCTGGATACAAGCTGGGCATGGTAGTGCATGCCTGAAGCTGGAGGATCTGAGAGTTGGAGGCCAACTGGGGCTGCATAGTGAGTTCAAGGCCACCCTGAACTACGTAGCAAGACGGTCACAAAAAAGAGTTTTTCTGGAGTCAGTGCATAAAGCATGCTGATATTATGTAAAACTAGGCTAACTCCAGCTTCCCTGGGCAGTGTGGTGAGCTGGCACAGGGCAGGCACTAGCCGAGAGGGCGGGCCCAGGGGATGGGCTGGGCCTTGTACTGCTAGCGTTGGCTTCCTGGCTCCATGCTCTGCGCCTCAAGCAGGTCGTTTAACCTCTCTGGCCTCAGTGTCCTCGGTGTTGCAGTCGGCCGAGTTGGCACACTATTAATTTCACCATTTAAAGTTGTAATAACTGAGCTACTTCTAAAGCGCTGAGCTCAGTGTCTAGTACGCAGGAAGAAATAGTGAGCTTGTGATGTAAGCATATTTTTATTTGTGTTAAAATACATATAACGCAGAATTTACCACCTTAATCATTTCTAAGTACTTCTCAGAGTGTTACACGACCTTTTTTTTTTTTCCCGTCCTTTTGAGATAGGGTCTTACCATGCAGTTCAGGCTAGTCTTGAGCTCACTCTGTAGCCCACGCTGGTCTCGAACTTGCAATGATCCTCCTGCCTCAGCCTCCCGAGTGCTGCGATTACAGGCTCAACCTCCCAAGTGCTGGGATTACAGGCGTGCACCACCACACTGGGCAAGTGAGTTTGCATTGTTGGAGAACCAATCCCCCACCCTCTGGCAGGGCCATCCAGCTCTGTCTTCATGCATTTCACTACCCTGAGTACCTGCTGAAGTAGACCATCTTTTTGTTACTATATTTATCTTAAGACTCTTAATCCCTCAAAACAGTTGCACTCTCTCTCGTGGGTTTTTTGTTTTGCTTTTTGAGACAAGGTCTCACTATGTAGTTCAGACCAGGTCTTTGTACACGCACCACAGACTAATAATCTGTGTTTTCCTTGGTCAAGTGTTATGACAAGCCAAGACTTGTAATGCAGGGCTGGGGATACAGCTCAGTGGCCCAAGTGCCTGCCTGGCAAGGGCAAGGTCCTGAGTTTGATTCCTGTATCAAAAAAACAAAAAACAAAAAAAAGACTTGTGATGCATTTCTGGGAGTCTGAGGCAGGAGGATTGCAAGTTCAAGCTCCGCCTGAGTGATTTAGTGAGATCCTGTGTTGAAATGAAAAATGAGGGATTGGGGATGTAGCTTAGTGAAGATCCTGGGTTAATAATCCCTAGTGTTGGGGATAGATGTTTGTGTGTGTGGGAAATAGCTTTCTAGAATTATACTTACTCTGGGCTTATTATTAATCCTATTTTAATGGCCCCTGTACAGATTCTTTCCTAGGTTGTGTTTGGGTTAAAGGAATTGATTGTTTGGGCTCCCCCACCCCCACCCCTGCCCCAAACTGTGGTGGTTGAAGTGGTGGTGTGACTGTTCATGTTACAAACAGAACGTGGGTTTTGGTTGTAAATTAGACGCCATGTTTTAAATGATACACGCCGCATTCCTGGTTCCATGAATCTCATTTCTGTTTGGACTTCTAGAAAGAATTGTATCTACTAGTAAAAGAGGTATTTTATCCTTCCATAACCTTAGGATCCAAGAGGCAGATGTCAGTTCAGGAAGGGAATTAGATGTTTAAAAAATGTATAGTTTATAATTGTATAAACTTTGGTTTGGTTTATTGAAGCGTTTTTATTTTTGAATCACAGTCCTGCACACTTTGTACCTTTCCTATTTTTACTTTTTGTCGGGGGGGGCATCTGCAGTCCCAAAATAGTACAAAGTAGTTCAAAATTCTCATCCATGTTAATATACAAAAGTATCATCACAGTAAAGTAAAAGAAATCATTTCGAACAGTTAAGTGTGTTGAAATATTACTGATTCAGGAAAAACTTTTCTTTGGTTTGTGTCCCAGCATGTACAGTGGAGGGTGTTATGCAGAACACTTTAATTTGCAGGGACTAGTGCAACAAGACCAGCCAGTTTTTCTTACCTCAGACAGACAAGTCAACTTCTTATGATTTGCTAAAACTGTTGCTCAGTTTAGGTTCAACTGTAAGACTTCAAAACTTGAGCCAAGAATGCTCTAACTATGCTAATTTTTTATCTTTTATAATTAGGTCAAGTTCCACAGAAAGCCTTCACTTACAGCTTCTAGAGTGATTGTCAGATATTTTTAAATTAATCTTTGTACCAAATGAAAAGAGTTAATTGATAATGAGGCGCCAAAGGGTTTACTTCTTTTCTTTTCCTTTCACAGTCACAACGTGCTATTGGGGTCAAAGAGGGGTAGCTATAGATATCACCAGCCACACAACAGAGCATGTTAGGTTTGAGTTTATTCAGGAGACCCCTAAGCTGCTTTAGGTATTGGCAGTGTCTGTGTCCTATGTCACTCCATGTGTAGTGGCACACATTTGTGCAGAGGCCGCCTGGCGCTCCTTGCGGAAGTCATCCCTGGCTGTGGGCCAGGAAAAGTAGCCAGCAGAGGCAGAATGGCAGCCACCATGTTGGCCTTGCTGCTGTTAACTGCACTTGCTGGCCATGCCCACATAGAGATGTGCAGGGACTGAGGATGTCCTGTGGATGCCTGGGCTCCCCTTGGTCCCGAGACCCCTTGGCCGATCAGCACAGCTTCAGCGTGTTTGTTCCACATTCTGCTCCAGGGCACAAGCAGGTGGAATAAATTAGCACTGCTTTGTCCTAGTGACTGCAGGTGCCCAGGAGTAGCGATGTGTGCTAAGGAGAGGGAGGGAAGGACTTGACTTCTGGACAGGCATATTCTTCTCCTGCAGCCTTTTAATCCATCATGCAAGACAGAAACCTTTGATTTCTTCCCTCCCCAGCCTGTTCTTAGGGAGCGTGTGTCCCCTTAGTGACGCTGGGCTCTTTTCCCACCGGTGCGCTCCCTTTCTCTCACACACGTTTTCGCTTCTCTCCTACAGTCTTCCGTTTGTGCTAAGATTGTGCAGCTCCTGGGGCAGAACGAGGTGGACTATCACCAGAAGCAGGTGGTCATCCTGAGCCAGGATAGCTTCTACCGTGTCCTCACGTCGGAGCAGAAGGCCAAGGCCCTGAAGGGCCAATTCAACTTTGATCACCCGGGTGAGTTGGGAAGTTGCAGAGTTGTGTGTGTGTGTATGTGTGTGTATTTGTGTGTGCGTTGGCTGGGGGAGTGGCGTTGCAGTAGTTCTGTCTCACCCATGGGGAAGTGGCTCACTTCTGAGTGTGTTTCCTAGCTATAAAATAGGGGCCTATTCATTACCTTGCAGGATTATTTGGGGTAGGGGTGAGAGGCTTTGAAACACCTCATGTGGTGCTGGGCTTATTAAGTACTGATGGAGTGTGTATGGGGTGAGGCTGACCGTGCGGGTGACGGTGTGAGCCTGGAACTCCAGCCCCAGGAGCGAATGAGTGTGGCCGATCCTTCTGCCTCCTGACATGCAGCAGCCTGTGTCACCCTCTCCTTCCAATCCCACATGTGGGCGCATGGCCAGTGTTCAACTCTCTTGCCAGCCCAGAGGGGAATGGGGACTCTGAGTGGCTGCCTGAGGAACCCTGCCAATAGCCTAGCTCAGCAGGCTGCTCCTTCTGTTGCTGTGGGTTCCTTATGACATTGGAATCCAGCCTTCTTGGCACGGGGCCTGTGGGCCTCCCCTACTCATGCATGTACCTTCCTGGTTGGCATGTGCCTATCCCAGGACAGCAGCTAGAGTCAGAGGGCGAAGAGATATCCAGGCTTCAAATGGAGTATCAGAGGAAGAGAAAGGAAATCAGTTTGCCAGAACTCATTCGTACATCCAGGAAGCTTTCATATTATATTATTCTGCTTTGGGTAGAAATCAGTTTTGAGGTGGTATATTAGTCACTTTCCTGTTGGGACAAAATACCCAACACACACAACTTGAAGGACAAGAGGTTTATTTTGGCTCACAGTTCCGTGGGTTGAGTCCATGGTTGCCAGCTCCAAGGCAGAAGAAGCTGCATGGTGGGAGAGCCCAGTGGAAGAGTTGCTTGCGCATGTCAGCCAGGATACAGAGAGAAGGCAGGAGCCAGGACAAGAGTATACTCCTCCAAGTTATGCCCCCAGTGACCTGCCCTTTCCACTTGGTCCTCAATATGAGACTTTGTTGGGGGGGCATTTTAGGCCTAAACCATAACATTGGGTCAGTGTGGCTCTCTAGGGTGTGTAGGAAATAGAAGCGTGATTATAGAAGAAATGGGTTTAAGAAACATAACAATTTGATTTTCTTCAGATGCCTTTGACAATGAACTCATCTTGAAAACTTTGAAAGAAATCACTGAAGGGAAAACAGTCCAAATCCCTGTGTACGACTTTGTCTCCCATTCACGGTAAGTGAGCTGTTGTGGGCTGGGGATTGCTGCGTGGTGCAACCCAGAGCGTCCCTGGTCTTCACTCAAACCTCTTTACCCATCTTCTGTACTTTAGACCCTTGTTGCCCCTGGTGGTGCCGCCGTAGCTGCCGTGTAGGGACCGCAGAGCAGCATGTGCTGGGGGTTGCCTGGTGCAGAGTTCACGTGGGCGTTTCCTGGAACTCTCTGGTCATTATGTTTCATTCTTTGGAAGGATGGATTCATAATTGGGCTTGGGTGAGGGACAGCACATTTGTAGCACTGGGGATTGAACCTAGGGCTTTTGTACACTCAAGGCAAGCGCGCACCACCGAGCCTACATCCCTAGACCCAGCACATCGGGTTCTGACACACCTCCCTGGGCTGTTGTTCCTGGAACAAGTTGTCAAGGGCGAGGCAGAGGAAGGGTAGGAAAAAGAACAAGGAACTGTCCTTTTTCCTCTCCTGGCTTACTTGGGATTGGACTGTGGAGAGAGCTGTGAGGGTTTCAGATCATAGGTTCTGCTCACAGAATTAACCAAAAGCTCCAAAAAGCATCTCAAGACACAGACCTGTCCAGGAAAGCCTTTGTGTTAGTGACCCTGATTGGGAATAGAGCAGTGGCTGGACTTGTAACTCATCCCCCTCCCTCTGAGTGGTGGGAACCAGTTCCTGGAGTGCTCACTCCTGATCGTAGCCAAGTAGAGCTCTCTATTCACTCTGTCCTAGTTTTAATGAAATCCCTCCGGACTTTGCACACACTCAGCTCCTAAATGGCACATTATACAACTGTGTTTCCTTTCTTATTCTGGGCTCAACTGGTGTTTTTACCTGTGGACTGTTGTGAGAGTTTCTTAAATCTGCTTTTCATTTTTCCCTCCTGGTTTCTCTCTGTCTGTCTGTCTCTCTCTCTCTGTGTCTCTCTGTGTCTCTCTCTCTGTCTCTCTCTGTCTCTCTCTCTCCCCCCTCCCCTCCCCTTGAGCTCATTTTTTTTACACAGGAAATCAGGCCTCATGTCTCTGTTTTACTAGATGCTTCTGGAGTTACAGAACATCTCTGTCTCCTGACCCACATGTCTCAGGAAGCCTCTGATGTGTTGTGCACACGGCCTGGTTCCTGCTTATGAGCCAGAACAGGAGGGAGTGGTGAGAGTCTGGCTGGGGAAGAGGAGAGAAGGAGGACACCTTGCAATGCAGAGAGAACTGCTTTGCTACTCTGCTTGTCCCTCACTGGTATCTCCTGAAGGGTGCACAAGGTCAGGGTCTGCTGCAGCGGAGGTGCAGAGATCAAGATACCACAGATCAAGAGACCAACATGCCAGATTGGGCAAGAATTAAGGGGTTTAGTGTAGGAGTTGGAGTTTACCTGGATGTTGGGGGCAGGAAGAGTGGCGACCAGGAAGGAGGCAGCCAGGGAATAAGACAAAGATGCTCCCCGGGTCTCCTCCAGTCTGCCCACTGGGGAGGAATCTGGGGTTCATGGAGAGGTGTAAGGGACCATCACCTCTGGGCCCTTGGCTCCAAGTGGATGCTCATGTAGTGTTTGCAAAGTGGCTTTGTGTCACTGTTAGCCTCTCCCGAGCAGTGTGGCTGTGGCTTCACCATCAACTTCTAAGTCTTCATTGGTGAAGTAACTTGGAATCCTGCAAATTGTACTTCCTGCTCTAGAGGGAAGTTGGTGGTGGTATTGAGCGGACATGAGACGCTCCAGCCCAGCACTTCCTGATTCAGGGAACGACTTGCAGTGCAATGTGACAACTAAGGCAAGACCCTTGGAGGGCAGAGGAGGGAGGAAGCACTGGATGCTGCAGGCAGGGTGTACAGAGGAGGCAGTGTTAAGCTGTCTGTTGGAAAGGATAGGTTGTTAGGGAAAGGGATTTCCAAGGTGATGGATAGGGAGGGATTTCAGGGGCAGGCATGGGTAAGCATAGGGACCTGCAGTGGGCCAAGTGTGGTAAGATGGGGGTCACTGTGTGGGGTAAGAGGCAGGAAGTGGGGAGATGCGCAGGCTCAGATTACATAGGGCTGTGAACGTCAGGTCCAGCAGCACCAACATGTTGGCAATAGGGGGCCACAGTTGGCTCTGATGTAGCAGTGGAAAGAGCCTTCTGGTGCAGGAGCAGAGAGAACCAACAATGCCATATATGACCAAACCTTTGGAAGAGCCCTGGTGGTGGAAGGTAAGAGTGGTTGGCAGGATTTAGGGTCTGACCCCTGCAGGGTCAAGGAATGGAGGTGGGAGGAAGTTGAGTACCTTCTGCAGTATGACTGCCGTCAAGTTCATATATTAACAACCACAAACCCTGGTAGAGTTCTCAATAGAGATGTGTTTCACCTTTCTGCTTGATTTGTCTCATACTTTATATTTTAAGACCTTATTCTTCAGTGGCTGCAGTTCATCTTTTCTGAGAAATGTCGTGACCACCCTAGACCATAGCAACTCTCAAGGGCCACTTACAGGGTGTCCAGCTATTTGGGGTTAACTGACCCCAGCCCACCCAGGGGCATTTGGTAACACACCAAGTCTGTTAGGTGACCACTGAGAATACACCCAGCTCTGAAGTGCCGTTCTCTGGTCTTCCCCTTCCTTCTCGTTGGCTTAGGTTATATCTCCAGTGATCTCATACTCTTGAACTCTACATTTCATTCTTGGACTTCCCAACGACTCTAAGCTCCTAAGTGGTGTGTATATACCAAGTATAACTGCTTTCTGGGCTAGCAGTTAGTTGCTCAATGTTCCTTCGAGTCTGAGTTGTTTTTGAACATTTCCCCCACCTAGATCTACATGTGGACGAGGGGAATGAATAATTCCAGCTTCTTCGGATACCAACAGCAAAGCCTTCCTGGAAAAGCACTTACTCATTTTTAGCGTTTGTCAGGCACCCTGATAAGATGGTCACGTAGTTCATAAACCTAGCATCGGCCGTGTCCTCTCGGTTGATGTTTTTCAGATCAGCCTCTAGGAATCCCACAAACGCATCCTCTGCTTCCCCCAGTGTACAGCAGCTGCCTAGAAAAGCTCATGATCTCACTGATGCATGGGTCCTTCCTTCTCTCCACACCCTAACCCTGAACACACTGGGCATTGGGCTAATGTTTTTCTCAACTCTGTCTGCCTAGTAGAAATACTCAGGGAGCTGGCAAACAACCCTGAAGCTTAAATGCTGCCCCAGTCTCTTTAAATCAAGGTGAGGGTGTGGTGTGGGGTGCAGGTATAAATATTTTCAGAAGCCCTCAGATGATTTTGATATGCATCTAAGCTACCCATGGTTTCAGACATTTTCTTTCTCTCTCTCTCTCTCTCTCTCTCTCTCTCTCTCTCTCTCTCTCTCTCTCTCTTTTTTTCTTGTACCTGGAATTGAACTCAGGACCTTGCACTTGCGAGGCAGGTGCTTAGGCCACTGAGCTATATCCCTAGCCCTCAGACATTCTCCTGATCGTCCCAGCCAGGTCCATTTGCTGTGCTATGGCTTATGTCCCCGTGTTCTGCCCCAGCAGTACTGGCTGTAGAACTTAGCCAGGAGCCCAAGGGTGTGAGCTAATGAGGAGCCTAACAGTGTTTGTGGGAGGGAAGTTCTGTTTTATTTGTTTTGTTCACAAACAAACGAGGTCCCTTGCAAGTGAGGGTGAGCATACACCTTGCAGTGGCGATGGTTACTGCTTTGGCACAGAGTTTGAAGTGAGAGGCAGTAGGGGACTGTAGGGAAGTTGCAGGGCAGGGTCTGAGGGACACAGGGACAGTGGAACCCCGGTGGATCCAAGCAGGCCCTGTCTGTGAGATACCCTTCCCTGATCCCCTTTAGCAAGATTTCATCTGCGTTTTTGTTTTTTTTTTTTTTGCTTTTTTGAGACAGGGTCTTGCTATGCAGTTCAGGCTGGCCTTGAGCTCACTTTGTAGCCCAGGCTGGTTTTCAACTCGAAATGATCCTCCTGCCTCAGCCTCCCGAGTGCTGGGATTACAGGTGTGCACCACCACTCCTGGCTGTCATCTGGCTTTTGAAAAGTCATGTTCACCTTGGTCTGTGCCACAGGCTTTCTGGCCCTGTGTGAAGAAGAGATGAGGAAATGTATTTCTCTGCCTTGTCCTTAAGGACGTGGAGCCCTAGGAGCTAGGTCTTGTCCCCAGCCATGTGCTGGCTGTGGAGTCAGGGCAGACAGAGCTGAGGACTGGCCTTTTCCATGTGTGTACTTTCTCTTCTGTTGCCTCCTTTCTAAAGTTTTCCTGACCCCCTCCCTGTCCTTTCCCTGGCCTTGGGTCTGGGGGAGGGGTTGGGATGCGAGAGAAAACTGTGACTGTACCTTTCTATTTTTGTCTGTCTCTGTTCTCCATTGCACAGCAGGTTATTCTATTCCAAGGACCAGACCTTTGCCCTCCGTTTCTGCTCAATGGCAAGAACTCAGAGAGGCGAGACCTTTGTCCCAGCCGTGCTCACTGCATGGTGGCGCAGGCTCTAGAAGGCTGTAAGCCTGGCCCTTTCAGCCCCACGCTGGCCCCACGGACAGGCCGCCTCTTGCTGGCCTCTCCCTCCCTCACCCTGTGGGCCTGGCCCATGCTCTGCTCTGTGCTTTTCAGGAAAGAGGAGACAGTCACTGTCTACCCTGCAGACGTGGTGCTCTTCGAAGGGATCCTGGCCTTCTACTCCCAGGAGGTCCGAGACCTGTTCCAGATGAAGCTCTTCGTGGATACAGATGCGGACACCCGGCTGTCCCGAAGAGGTGTGTTCTGGAAGCTCCTGGTGGCCCTGTTAGTGGTCTCCTCGGGGGCAGGGGAGAAGGGGGCCCATGACAGAGCCCTGGGCTCCCTCAGTCCGAAGCCTGGGCCTTCCCTAGGCAGCTGGGTGGCTACGTGGCCCAGCCTGGCTGTGTTAGCTCAGCTCCAGGATATCCTACTGCCCAAATGTTTGATGACATTTGAGAAGGGATTAGTCACTTAACTGTTTTGGATAAGGAAAGGCTTGTGAGGTCACTAAGATGAAATGAGAACTGGAAGGTCTGGTTTCACTGGGAAAAGTTTACTTACATGCCCAGTTCCTCATGATTTTTCCACCAGGCATCAAAACAAGATCCCTTGATTTTTGGAGCCAACCATGGCATATCTGGCGATAGGAGCTCTTATGCCTGTGTGCTGGGCAGCTGCCCACCCCTGCGTCTGCATCTGTTCCGCAGCGGGGTCCCCCACAGGCCTTCCTGCGTGTGCGCCTGTGCCACCCTGCATGTACCTGGCACTGAAGGCATAGATGGGCCTGTTGGCTGGCATCTGATGTGGTAACATCGTTGCAGGAGTGGTTAAAGGGCCCAGAAGAACAGAGAGAGAGACACACGCCTGGGTTGTTTTACCCCTGCAAGTCAGATGGAGCCACTTTCACACCAGGGGGGAAGGACACAGGAAAACCATGTGAGGGGAGAAAGAATAGCGACGGGTGGCCTGGGTGTAAGCCTCCACAGACCCCCTCCCCCATGCCCCCAGCCAGCTTTGTGACTTTGGTGGCTCTTGAGCTGGTCACTGTGGGCTGGAGACCATGAGACAAACCTGCTTTTAGCACCGTGACTGGCTCGGTAGAGTTGCCTGGTCTCTTTTGGTAAATGACTGAAGCCGGAGCCTGACACCCCCTCTCCCCACCAAGCTTCTGCTGCAGCACGTGGCTTGTCACCTTATCCACAAAGCACCGGTGCTGTGCTGTCTGCTTGCTTGGTGCCTGTTAGTTGTCAGGTTAGGGAAGCAGCGTGGTGCTTTTTGAAAATAAATTTTGGAATCAGGCGAATGGGACTGGCATCTCAGTTTTACCACTTAGCAGATGTGCAGCCTGGGGCAAGCTGTTGTAACCTCTTCGTACCTAATTTTCCTATTGGATGATCTCCTGTTTGTACTCGCAGAAGAGTTTCAAAAATTAAAGGCACTGAAGGCACAATGCCTGGTGGCACATTAGTTGACAAATACTTCTGCCCAGGAGGCTGGTGTCTGTTTCTCCGAGTCCACAGTGGGTCTGGGCGGTGACTCAGTAGGGCTGGTCCACTCAAGTCCTCAGGAGCTGGTGCCATCAGGCCTAATGCCAGTGCCAGCGGGACTCAGTCTCAGGGATGTAGTGAAGCTTGAAGAAAGCCTTGCAGGCGAGGCTGCAAAGATGCCTGGGAAATAAGAGCTGTGTTTGGGGTAGGAGCAAAGTCCCTGGACAACAGGTCGTTGTGGTGTGGGTTAAACAGAGCATTGTCCCTCCCTTACCTGGCCTGGGCTCCTTATGTGAAATGGGGTGATGAGAAACCTTATGAGGTGATGGGAAACCACCTGCCATCTAGGGGCTTCTTGGGGGTTGTTCCAACTCTGTCCTCATGTGGCCTGGGCAGGTCCCTGCTTCTTGGCTCATACCTGCTTTTATGAATCACCTGCTGTTGGGTCGCTGGTAGGACTTACCCACAAGTTCACCCTCCACATACAATAGAGAGCATGGGTGGCATGAGCTTGGTGGGGTGAGAGTGCCGGGGTGAGCAGGGTGAGTAGCCAGGAGCAGCTGTAGGGCTCGAGCATGTTCCTGGAGAGTCCAACAAGTGCCAGGGTTTTGCCATCTGCCTGCCACACCCCAAGGCCTGTGACCCTCACATTCCAGGCCCTGAGAAGACACACTTCCTTCCTGCTGGAACCCCTTGTCTTTCAGGGCTTGGTTTCAGCATCTTCCCGATCTGTGTGGTCTTAACCCTGGAATACAGGGACAGACAGGAAGGAGATGGGTGTTTAGGGCTGCAGCACCCCCTGCGTTGCTCTGTGGCTCGCTCATGTTGTGCTGGGGCTGCACTGGGCCATAGTGATATTCTTTTCCTATGGGGTAGCACATTGAGGGACCGTCCTCACCCTGAGTCCTTCTGCGTTCACTTCTGCTGTGCGTGCGTAGGCATGTTGCTTCCTGGCCTTCACTGTATCCTCCCAATGGGCCTGTGCTGGCCCTGCAGAGGTGCTAGGGTCAGAGCGAGGATAGGGCTTGTTTTGGGTCCTTAGAGGTTCCCGTTTGTGCCAAGCCCTGGACTTGGCTCTGTCTGCTGGCTGTGCCTGAAGACCTGTCCCTGCTTTTCCTTGGCTCAGGGAAGGCCACTTTCTGTTCAGGGAGACCCCTCAGGAAGCAGAGCGGGCAGTGCCCTCTGATTGCATGTTCCTGGTGTCCGGGCGACTTTCTGACCTGTTGCTGTGGCATGACTCTTCTCTTTCCTGTTGGTCTGTGCTTTGCCTGTGTTTGTGTCCCTCGTCCTCTGGCGGCCCGCTCTCACTGGGTCTTGCTGGCAGTGTACCTGAGTTTGGGGTCCTCCCCCACCATGGTGGTCTGCCCTCAGGGGACAGTTGTCTTCTGGGGGCCTCCTTGGGTCCTACCAGTGACCTCAGAGGAGGGCAGGCCCATGGAACAGGACCGTAGGCCACCTGCCATGTTGAGGAGCTCAGGCTCCTCTAAACAGTAGCTTATAGGAAGGCGTCTTCACTGCCTCTGTGATAGAGCAAAGGGCGTCGAGATGTAGAGAGGATAAGCAGCTTATCCAAGGCCTCAGGGATAGCAGTTCCTGGGCTCAGGATTCTCTTCCAGGTCCATTTGGCCCCATGTTCATTCGCGCTAACTGGAGGAGCAAGCAGCAGCATTTGGGCCACAGAGCTTTCTGCACTACCCGTTGCTTCTCTCCAGGTCTGCAAGACCAGGGAGCCAGAAGCCTGGGGCGCTGCAGCTCTGGAGGACCATGTGAGAAGGGGGTTCTGGCTACGAGCTGCTGGGAGAGCGAGTCACCTCCGGGCCAGCGCCTCCCACAGCGGGTGGAAAGCACACCTTGTGGAGGTGGCCGGCAGGGGAGTAGAAGCTTCTGGGGAACGTGTATACCTGCTCTCTCCGGCTCTGATAGCCTTTTGGTCTGGTTTCCTCTTTGTGTGGCTAATCTGGAGATGTGTGAAGAACAGGAGGTTGCACTGGCTGTGTGTTTTGGCTACTTGAAGTCATTAGCTATGTGTGCTCTCAAAGCACATGGGGTGAGCCACGCGGCCGCCCCCGGCTTACTCACATGGGGCAAGAGGAAGAGGGCTGTGTGGCAATGCCTGGAAAGCCATTTCCTGTTGGGGAGTTGCTGCTGTGGGGACTCCAGGCCGATTGGCAGTGACAGAGGGGGTGAGGCAGGTGCTGACACATAGGGACCCACCGGACATTTATCACTATGTGCGGAAAACCACTTTGGAAATCCAGGAGCTGGTATCAAAGCCAGGTGGTTCTGGTGTTGGAATGTGGCTTCCTGGTGGTTTTCTAGCCCTCTGATCTTGCAGATGTCCCATGTATGTGGATCACAACCTTGACACACCTCTCCTTCCCAGCCCTTTGTGTGTGTGTGTGTGTGTGTGTGTGTGTGTGTGTGTGTGTGTGTGCGCACATGACTGTCCAGAGAAGTGGCTTTCCTGAAGTACATCCGCAGGGACTCCGGTGCATTTTATCCGCACCTGAGATTCGAGTCTCTTACCTGAGAAACGGTTGAGGGGAGTTGTTGGGCCACTGTGAACGGTTGTAGATGGATGAGGTGGCCTTTGGGAGCAGACGTGACAGATGCAGCAGCTCAGGAGTCAGATTTAAAGGGACAGCAGTGGACAGGAGCTATGTTGGTGGGGAGACTCTGCCCCCAAGCTCATGGCTTAGGGGAACTGAGGCAGAGGGATTAGAAGTTCTTACCCAGCTTGGGCAGTTTAGCAACTTAGACCGTGGCAGGTTCAGTCCCCAGTACCACAAAAAAAAGTGTTTGGTGAGATTCCCTGAATAAAACTGATCAGAAGATGGTGGATATGGGAATCTGGGTCACATCAGCTCCCGCATGGCTCCAGCAGCGTTTCCTGATTTGTGGTTCTGTCATTAAGTGAGGGGACCCAGCCTGCTCTCTCATAATGGGCCTCTTGGTCTGTCCTGATTATTTTATTTTTTGGTTCACACTAGAATTTTGTTTAGGTTAAACGTGCTTGAAACAAGAAGGCTGTTGGCCTCAGACAGCCCTTTTCTTGAGAGACCATTTTGAAGCAGAATTTGACAGGAGTACAACTTAGAAATGTAATTTGTGATGTGGAGGCACAGGCCTATATATAATCTAAGCCCTGAGAAGGCTGAGGCAGGAAGAGCTCAAATTTGAGGCCAAACTGGGCTACACACATAGTGAGCTCATCTGACATGGACTATAGAGCAAGACCCTGGCATCCCCTTGCAAAACAAAACATGTTTTTTTCCTAAGCTGCTGCTGCTGGGCTCTTGTAAAGCCTCTGAAGAGTCCAATGTGTGATTCATCCAGGGTAAGCAGGAGCCTGGTCACTGAGGGAAGGGCGGATGTGTGCTGCTGGCTCTTGCAGCATTTTTTTTGTTTTCCTTCTCTTCCAGTATTAAGGGACATCAGCGAAAGAGGGCGGGACCTGGAGCAGATTTTATCGCAGTACATCACATTCGTCAAGCCTGCCTTTGAGGAGTTCTGCTTGCCAGTGAGTTGTGTTCTTGGTTTGTTTTTGCTGCATATGGACCAGGAAGTGTAACTTGCCAGAGCAGCCTGAGTCTTGAACCTCACCTCACCCGTCTCTCGGAGCCGTCCCTGTCCTGAAGCTCCGGAGGAGTGCAGCCTGCGGCCCAGCCTCGTCTCTGAGCTCTCCTGCCTCCGTCCTCCTGGGGCCCCGTGGGGTTGGGCCAGTCCTCCGGCCAGCTGTGACTCCAATTCCATTCTCTGCCTCTTGCTGGATGGGGCCACAGTGACCAGATGGAGTGAGCGGTCACTGCAGCTGGGACAGGCCTCAGCCTAGCCGGGCCTTGTGAGGTGCTGGAAGGTGCAGCGAGGTGTGGGGAGATGCTGCCCCCTGGTGGTCTCTTCCCTATTGATTCCCTGCTTTGGAAGTGCTGCGCTCCACTGGAATAGCGTCCTTACTTCCGGCCTAGCTGCCGCAGCTGGGGATGCCCCAGGCGAGTGATGCTGGCAGAGGAGGAAGGGCCAGCTCTTGGCTCAGGAGACTCTAGCCGTGTTCCTGGGAAAGGCAGGAATGGGCTGGGGCTGTGGTAGAAGAAGACATGGGCGCAGCCTCAGCTTTGAAAGGGAGGTGGTCAGCTCTGGACTTAGCGTGGTGCCTTATTCGCTTGGCCAAACCATGGGCTGACTCTTTAATTAAATTATTTTTTAATATGATTGAAATTTACGTATGGTGAATGTTTAAATTTTAAAAATTTATTATAGTAGGAAACACATAGGCATTAATTCCTCTCAGAATGCTCCCCCTTGTGGAATACGTTTATTCTATTCTTGAGCCTCTTTCTTTCTCTTTCCTTTTTCTCTCTTTCCCTTTTTTTCTTTCTCTCTTAGTTGTCCTCTTGTTCCTTCTTTCCTTCCTTCCTTCTTTTCCTTCTTTTCTCTCCCCTTCCTTTCCTTTTCTTTCTTTCTGTCTGTCTGTCTTTCGAGACAGGGTCTCACTCTGCAGTTCAGGCTGTCCTTCACCTCACTGTGTAGCCCAGGTTGGCCTTGATCTTGAAGTGATCCTCCTGCCTCAGCCTTCTGACTGCTGGGATTATAGGTGTGTGCCACTATGCCTGGCTTTGTTTTTGCCACTTTCTGAAGTAGTTCTGGAAGTCCTCTTTCATGAGTGTCTTTCTAAGTTGTGATGAAAAGAATGGTGAATGCTGCTGCTGGGTACCAACCAACAGAAAGGCAAAGTCTTGAAAAAATATTCCCTGTGTGTCCTCATCTACCCCGTTCACTGGGCCTGGTACCACGTGACTTCTGGCTCTTTCCCAAACTCAAAACGACCATGTAACAAATGCTTTGAGTTGATTGAGGGTGTTGAGCCAACCATGACAGCACAACTTAAAGACACACGAGAGTTTCCAGAACTGCTTCAGAAAGTGGCAAGGAAGACGGGATAAATGGCAATGTGTTAGTAATTTTTTAAAAATGAGACATTCGCCGTATTTTTAGATCATACTAATGTTTGTTAAGATCTCAGTGACACACAGATAGGGAGGGGTGGTTAGGGCTTCAAACCTGGTTTTGGATAAGGTTGTTTGGGAAGACTGGAATCTGGGCAGACCTTCAAAATAGGCTTATGGGAATTCCAGGCTGTGGGAATTCCTCTGTCCTACCAGTCAGGATTTCTTTCTTCTTCTCTTGGAAGAGTATGTTTGGACCTGGCTGTGTTTCAGGCTGTTAGTAGGCTTTGTGTCAAGCCGTGCTTGACTTATGTTTCTGATCAGGGGCAGGTGGACTTTCTGAGCCAGCCAGAGCAGTCTTGCCCCATGTCCTGTGGTTTGGGTTACAGGAGTGGGTTTCTGGGAAGAGGCTGCTGGAGGGTAAGGGGCTGCGAAACTCTTGCCATCCACGGAGCTCTCTGAGGAGCTTCCTGCTCTTTTCTCCTTAATACTAAGAACACAGAGTGGATTCACATTGCGTTTCGTCTTCTCCTCTACCCGTCTTCTGCTATCTCACGCAGCTAGAAGGGAGCAGTAGGTTCTGCACAGATGTTTCCTGGGTAGTCTCTGCCTCTTGCTGCCACCTGCGTGCAGCTCCTCATCCCCGGGATTTAAGCTTTCTTCTGTGTAAGCCAGGAGCTTGGCCCTGACAAATGTCCACAGAGTCAAGCTGAGGCTGGGCCTGATGTAGTCGGATGTGTGAAGTCCTGGTTGGGGCTGACCCCGCAGGGAGACATTGGGCCTGGTTGCTTGGGTTAAATGTCAGGACACTTATAAGGAATGGCCCCCAGCGTCATCTCAGGAAATTAAAATAAAATAAATAGGCTGGGGATATAGCTCAGTGGCACAAGTGCCTGCCTGGCAAGTGCAAGGTCCTGAGTTCGATTCCCGGTACCAAAAAAAAAAAAAAAAAAATTAAAATAAAACAAATAAAATGCACACAAAAGAAGGGCTATTTATACACCCAGTAGATTACTTTTTAAAAATAATCCAATGTGGATTACTTTTTAAAAAATCTACCCTGGGGCCTGATGTGGTGGTGCTCGCTTATAATCCCAGCACTCTTGAGAGGCTGAGGCAGGAGGATTGTTGTGAGTTCGAGACCAGCCTGAATTGCATAGCAAGACCCTGTCTCAAAAGGAAAAAAAAAAAAAAATCTTTACCCTGGGCCTAGGAGTGAATATTGTCACCTTTTTTAAAAGTCCAGGCTTAACTAGCCCTCTGTTAAGTTTTTTTTTTCTTGTTTGTTTTTTGATGGTATTCGGGGTTAAACCCAGGAGGAGCTCGTGCGTGTCAGGCAAGCGCTTTACCACTCTGCTGTGTCCCCAGCCCTTTTTATTTTAAGACAGCGTCTCACTGAGTTTGGTTGGCCTGAAAGTTGCAGTCCTGCCTCAGCCTCTAACATAGCTGGGCTTAAACTGTGCATGACCACACCTGGCCAAGTTTGGGCTTTTCCAATTTATATTTCTCCTGGCGTTAGAAATACCTACGTGTTTGGGTTGAAGATCATATTCTGTCTTCTAGTGATGAGTGAGGAAATGAGGTTAAGCTATAGGAGCTCAAAGACCGGCATTAGAGTTCAGTGGTAGAGCACTTACCTGATGTGTGTGAGGCCCTGGGTTTGATTTCCAGCACTGCAAACAAAAAGATGCCCCAAAACCTTATGAAGAAACTGATTTATTATAAACAGGATGTGAGTGGATAAAAACATAGGACTGGTAATTAGAAATTGGTTTCGATTCACCTGTCGGTTAGGACCACATCCTGACCCCCATTCCTTATTGCTCTGGCCTCCTTCCCTGCCTCCCTTTGCCCCTCAGCTCTCAGTGGGACAGGGCACTTCCTTAGGTGACCCCCTCACCACGCGCCAGTTGCTGGGGTTGTAGCTGAAGTCTCAAACTGTGCCAGAGGCGGCTAGCCTCTCCCGCTTTACCTGGGTGCAGGGCGGGGTCAGGTGCCTCTGAATCCCCACATTCATTCACTGTACACATCTTTCTCCACAGACAAAGAAGTACGCGGATGTGATCATTCCTAGAGGTGCGGATAATCTCGGTGAGTCCCCTGGGGGGAGGTAACTTCCGCCCTTGTGGCCATCAAAGCTTCAGGCAGGTTGTGGTGACCCAGCTGGGCTCTGTGGCCTGTGGCTGTGAGCCAGTAGGGCACTTCTATCCACGTGGCTGCCCTTGGGGACAGGCCCCTGGGCTTGTGCACAGAGGTGTGTGGGGACGGGTGGGAGAACATGTGCTCCCCCAAAAGGGAGTACTAGGCTGCCATTTGCTGTCACCACCTAGTGGTGACACTTGGATAGTGGGGTCTGAGACCACCTTCCAGCCAAAGTACACTTCCTGCTTTCACTAATTCAGGACCATCTGCTATTATGCCCCACCCCTGCTTTGGAAGGGAGCTGGTTGGTGGTAATATTGTGTTTAGTTAAGCGTCTTGGCTTGTCCAGGAAGTGTGACTATTGCTCCCTGGCAGATCAACACTGCCACAGCATCTTCACACATTCTCTGTATAATTTGTTTCATTTTTTCCTCCTATAAAAAGTGCATTTCAGCCAGGAGTGGTGGTGCACACACTCTGGGAGGCTGAAGCAGAAGGATTAAAAAGTTTGATCCCAGCTTGGTGAGGCCCTGTCTGAAAGTTAAAAGGGCTGGAGTTGTAGCTTAGTGCAAAGGCCCTCACCTGGCTCAATCCACAATGTAGAAAGAAACAAAAAAGTATGTTTATTTGCTGAGGTGTTTGCAGGTTCATCACAGTGATTAATATTTCACTGTATATCTTTAGAACAAGGACATTCTCATTCAAAACCATAGTGCAGCCAGGCGTGGTGGTGCACACCTCAATCCCAGCGCTTGGGGAGGTGGAGGCCTGAGGGTCGCTGAGTTCCAGGCCTGGCTGGGGTGTGTACTGAGTTCAAGTCCAGCATGAAATACTTAGTGAGGCCCTGGTTCAAAGAAACCAAACCCACCCAACAAAACCACAGTGTAGCCATCAATTTCTATTGATGCCGTTGAGGTATTCTCCTTTAACCGGGAGCTATCCCTCTGCTTGTCCTTGGTTTTCATGGCACCAGGGTTTTCTTTCCAGCAGTTTTTGGTTTTTTTGGGTACTGGGGATTGAAATCAGGACCTCATGCTTGCCAGGCAGGTGCTGTGTGGCTGAGCTACATCCCCGGCCCCAGCACCGCTGTTTTAAAGTGTCCACTGTGCTTGTTGGGTGGCCTGGCCCTCCCGTTTGGTTTTGTCCTGTTTCCCTTGGCTGGATTCAGCCTGTGCAGTCCGGGTGGACATGGTACGGTGTCTTCCTGTGTCCCATCTCGCAGCCCTTGGCATTTATTCCACTCTTGATAATGTTGAGAGTGACTGAGTAGTTGAAATTCCTAGTTTATTTCTGAGGCTGATGCAAGACAGCTCTGCCCCACCTCTTAGAGAGGTTGCACAGGTGGAAACAGAAGCTGTAGGTTTCTCCTTGGCCCAGTCGGAGGCCCAGAGTGTGGAGCGAGTTGTCCTTGAGTGGCCATCACCCCGGGTCCTGGGTGCCCATCCATGCGGACTGGCCCTATGCCCACTGCCCTGCTCGGGTCCTGCGCGCTCCCTTCTCCCCGCCCTCACCCGCTGCTCTCCGCCTGCAGTGGCCATCAACCTCATCGTGCAGCACATCCAGGACATCCTCAACGGAGGGCCGTCCAAGCGGCAGACCAACGGCTGTCTGAATGGCTACACGCCTTCGCGCAAGAGGCAGACGTCGGAGTCCAGCAGCCGGCCGCATTGACCCCCGCCGGCTCCGAGGAGCACCGTGCGCCTGTACATACCCTTTCCCAGGACGTTGCTTATTTAAGAAGACACCGTGGAGATGACACGCCTTTGGGGTGGTTTTTTTTTTGTTTTTTTTCCCCCCCTTTATTCCTTTTTGTACTATGGAACAACGAAATCAAACAGAACTTGATCGTGACCTTAAATGACAAACTGTGCCAACTACTACTGGTGATGCCTAATTATGACTCCAACATGTAACCAGTTATAAATACATATTATATATAGATATATATATAGAGAGAAGGATCTATTTTTGTGTAAATGTACAAATACTGTAAAGCTGTTTGCCGTAAGTATTTCGCAGGGCCTGCGATTGTGTGTTCGGGGCCTGGGGCAAGAGTGGCGTTGCAGGGACCTGGTGAAGTATCTGGGGAGAGGAGGATGATGCGGATACGATGGCCGCGGGCTGGAAACCCCCTTTGCCTCCCCTTGCAGTTGGTGCTTGATGTGCCGATGAGGGACACTCTTGTCTTTTTTTGAGTTGAAGTTTAGGTAAGATCTCAACTCAAAATTCAAACTCAGGGAAGAGGCCCACTGAGGAGAGCAAGTCTTCTGCGTCCCTCCCTGCCCTGCTGCCCGCGACCGGCCGCTTGGACAGCTCTGTGGCTCCCTCCTTACTCCGCCTCTCTGTTCTCCTTCCCCGGCCGGCCTTTTAGGGAAGAACTGGGGCGTTGGGGGTGGAACCAGACCTGCTCGATGTCCTCTGGCCTCCCAGGGAAGTAACTGACCAGAGCCCTCGGGCATTCTCCTGTCTGATGGAACACAGGGCGGACCCTTCGACAGGGCACATCCAGTCCGTGCTGTGATTGGGGACATCTGCTAAACGACTGCTGGTAGAGCTGCTCATGGGTGGCAGAGGAGCTCTGGCCATGTGAGGGACAGTAGCTTTGACTGCCCGTGACCTGTGGATTCACAGTGGTGTGTACCTTTCACTGGGAACTGTCAAGTCACCACAGGGCCGAGCGATTGACTTAATCACAGCTTCACCATGTGAATATGGTGACGGCCAGGTTGGGCGGGGGAGTTAGGAAAAGAAAACCTTTCTTTTTTTTTTTTAAAGAAAACCTTTCTTTATTTTGAAGCATGGGTCCCTAAATTGGAGTCTTAGGAGGAAAACATTTAGGGATTTGAGGTGGAGACTTCCAGCTCTCTGGAGAGCTTCCTGTCAATGGGAGCTTCCTGACCTTCCGCTAGGAGGGGTGGAGGGACTAGGGGGACGGACGAGGCGGGGGAGGTCTGATGGTAGAGTCCCAAGTTTCAGTTTCTATCCGCAGAAGAGCCAAGGGTTGTCGTGTCAGTGGTGACTGTCCGGTGTGTGGTAGCCCTCCGCCTTCGTCACTCCCCTTGGCTGCCGCCTCCCGACGCTCTCTGGAGGGCCTTCTCACTGTGTGGCTCTTGAGCCATCTGAGCCACGCGGGTAACTGTGACTCCAGTCCTGGCTGGTCACACTGAGCCTCGCTGTCAGACTCGGTGCCCCATCCAGTTTGATTCCTTCTTTCGGGATTTAATTTGTCTCCAAATCTATTTTGCTACTTCAATAAAGTCAACCGTAGTCCTCAGCTAGAATTTTGCTAGCCCGGGCCCTGCGGGAGGCTGTGCTCCAGGTCCCGATGGCTGTTCCCGGGGGCGGGGCCAGTGGTGTGGATAGGCGCCGGCCGGCAGGCAGCCCAGTGCTCACCGAGACTGAGCAGTCTGTCTGCCTCCTGTCACGCTGTGCGCCGTTCTGAGATGAAGGGGGGTGGAGGCCCGGACTAGGACCCCAAGGACACAGGGCCCTGGGCCTTGCCGGGCCCTCTGTGCCGGGGGACGCCCACCTCAGTCTGGGGGCGCCTTGGCCTTCAGTGGGTCGCACGCTCAACTTTACTTGAAGCTCCCAGGTGCCAAACCATTTAGTGCCTTGGCTGTCTGTCCCACTGCCTTGGAAGAGGGATTCTTCTCATCTCTGAGCCTTTTCTCACTTAACTGCTTCCTCATTTGTCTACCTGTGGTGTTGGGACCAAGCCCCCAGGATCCTGAGGAGCCCGCTCCTAGCTTGGGATACAGCTCCAGGGCGGCCTGATCCCTGCTGCCTTGTGAAATGACCGCCAGTTCTTGGTGGCTCAGCTGGACGCTGCGACACTGCGTCTGGGGAAGGGAGGACAGGAGGCTGGGAGGCTCTGCCCCTCCGTGGAAGCCCAGCATGTGAGTCCCTTGTGTGTCTGCACTTGAGCTTTCACTAGGAGAGACTGTGTCAGAGTCTTTTAGGAGTCTCCGGATCTCCGGCGCCACTAGAATGGGAGGGGGTGTAAAATGAGACTGGAAGCCATATTTGCCATCGAGGCACTGCCGCACAGGAAGGAGGTGCCAGCTGCAGGGCGGGGCAGTGTTGGCCGCTCTTGTGTGGGAATCCCTCGGCTCCAGAGCCGCCCGCCGGTGCTTGCTTCCCCTCCAGGACCAGGTGTCCTGGCCTCACTCCCCACTGTGCTGATGCCCCTTCTGCGGCCTGAGTTCCTTACTTGGGGGCAGCCTGAGAGCAGGATGAGCAGAGGCAGGACTTGGGAAGGGTGTGAGTGTTATGACCTCGGTGTCCTTGGGAGTGGACAGGGCAGAGAAGCAGGGGAGGGAGGAGTCTCCAGTGCGCAGGTGTGGGAAGTTGTCTCCTGCCTCTCCTGCCCTTGGAATTGGATCCTTGTTGACAAACGCAGGGTGGATACTAGGCTCTGGAGGCCACTGGCTCAGGCCGGAGGCCTCTGTGATCCCCGAGCAGCTGGAAAGTGGGGAGGCTGAGCCAGGTTGGTTGGTATTAGCTCCCTTCCTGCCCTCCTGTAGCTTGATTTAGCAACCTTGACTGGGGCCAGCGCCTGAGAAGCCGTTGGAGGGAAGGAGGCTTTTGCGGGGAGCTGTTTCCGCTGTGGAGTCTGTGTGTCCGTGAGGGATCCCAGCACCAGGGAACAGGCTGGTGTGGGCAGGAAGCTAGGACTGGTCCCAGGCTGCAGGAAGGGGCAGCTTTACCAGACCATTACCACCCTGGCCCTTGGAGTGGAGCAGGAAACATTCAGGTGCCAGACAAATCCAGGTTGGGACAGGCACAGCTGGGATGGAGCCTTTCTGCCTCGGGGCTTCTGCTGCCCTCTGTCCCAGGTGCAGGGGACAGGCATGACAGACCAGCCATGTGATTCTTCCGGGCAGTGGGTGCTGCCTCGGGATCGAGTTGAGCGGCTAAATAGACCTGGGCTTTTCTTTCCCTTTAAGATGCTTGCTCTCCCACCCCTTTTTTGTTGCTTTATCTTTATTGTTAGTAGTTACAGAAATGACCACGTGCTATGTACTTGCTGTAAATAAAGTCTGACTGAAAAAGATCCAGCTCTCGCCTTTTTTGTGATACTGGGTCGGATGCAGCCCTGAGCCCACTGGCTGAGGGGACCCAGCTGTGGAGGCAGGGCTGTGCCTTGTCCTGGCAGAGGACGCACGGTCACAGCCTTGGGGAGGCCTCGAGGTCCTCGGGGGTGTGTGGGGCTGACCCTGGCCTCCGTGGAGCCAAGATACTGATAGGATTATACTTCTCAGCAGGAAGAAAGCTTGGGCCAGGGGTTGGGGGGCTGTTGGTTCTCGGGACATCTTGGCTCTGTTCTCCTGTCATCTGGCTCCTTCATGTCTGCATGGAGAACAAAAACACTTAGGTGAAGTAAACCTGCAGAAGAGGGGTATGCGATGGATGGAGGAAAACACATCACAGCACACAGTTTCCAGCTGACATCGAGCTCGCTTTGTACACCCTGCAGTGAATGAATGTGTACGTGGCTCTCCTTGTTTTTAAAGGACCTAGGTCATGTACCACCAGGGCCTTAAAAGTAAGTGTCCTCACTGCAGCATGCGAGCTCGCGCCAGCTCTTTTTTGGCTCCCCTGTCACCCCCGTCCACTGCTTATCCGACACACAGTGACCCTCTAAAATGAGTACAGCTCCTTCCAGCCATTCCTGCTACCTGGCTAGGAATTGAGCAGGTCTTTTAACAGCACCTGCTTGCAATGGGTTGCTGACATTTAGGTGCTGCTACATTTGACACTATCAACTCTACTCTCAGTTACTGTCCTGGGAGTCACAGGGCTTGCCTCGGGGCACAGGTCATGTGAGCTGTTGCTCAGCCGTGGTCCTGGGTGGTGGTCCCCCTCTCCCCTGTCTGCCTGTCCCATGAGGGCCACCTCTGGGCCTGAGGCTTGGTTTGCTGTCCTTGGTGGTGGGGATGGGGTGCAGGCCAGGGATGCTCTGACTGGGTTGTATTGCATTGATAGTATTCCTTAGTTATTGCAGGCTGATCAGGCCCATAATCTCCCAAATGAGTGGATGGTGGTGGAGGCTTACATAAATGAGACAATTGAAATGATTTCAGGGCTCCAGGAGGGTTCAACCCTATCACAGACTTTGAGGTTCTCTGGGCTGACACACAGACTTCTCTGAGCGGTCCGTATTTATTAGGTTTTCAAATAAAGGAGGTGGGTACTGAAGAAAATGCAGTAATCTCGGCAGGGCTTGGGAAGCTCATTATGGAATTCTCCAAGTCATACTTAGGTTAATTTAGAAGAACTATGTTATCTCCATGAAGGCCTTAACTGGCCTTCACTGCAGCAGTGAGATGCCTGCCGCTACAGCTTCCTCTTAGCTAATGGGGGTTGGAACCAAACGTCCTTGGCGGTGACCTTATCTTGTCCTTTGAGGCCTTGTGGCTTCACACCATTACAGGCCTCAGTAGGGACCAGTGACTCACAAGTGAACATGGAAAGCTAATGGGTTAATATAAGTCCTGCTCAGAGCTGCTTCACAGTGGTCTCCATCATTGCTTTGTGCTCCCACTGTGGGTCACATTGTGTTGTGAGCCAACCTCTGCTCCAGAGGCAGGACACACTTTTTTGGTGCTGCTTTAATCAAGTCATCAATGGGGAGATTTAACAGAGACCAGCTATGCTCTACTTAGAGGCCTTCATTATTTTTACTTCTTTGTGGTACTGGGGATTAAACCCAGGGACTTCACACTGCATCCCCAGCGCTTTAATTTTTTGTTTTGAGACAAGTTCTCACTAAACTGCCCAGGTCGGGCTTGAACTCACAATCCCCCTGTCTTAGTTTCCCAGAGTGCTGGGATTTCAGGTATGCATCACTGCTCCTGGCTGAGGTTTTAAATACGGGGCCAAAAAAGAGGTTGAGGCGTAGGGGTGGGCTGCTGTGAGAGGAGGAACCAGGGAGAGGGGTTTGTGCCATCTCATGCTGGGGATGTTTAGATTCCTGGCTGTTTTCTTCTCTCCGTATCGGTTATGCAGATTAATGGGCTTCATTTTGGCAGATCTGTACACGCACATAACCTACTTTAGTCAGTCACACCCCAACCCCAACAGAGTTTAGTAAGATCAGTTTCTGGGCTGGGATGGTAGTTCAGTGGTGGAGTGCTTGCCTAGCAAGTCCAAACCCCAGCATTAATGGGGAAAAACGATCGTTTTCCATACCCAGAATGAAATAAAGCCACTTGCTAGAGCTTAACATGGATGCTTCTGTTTTTCAGTAAATTATGAACTAAAAGAAGCAGACAAAGGAGTCAGATTTGAGCTACGACTAAGCTCTGACCGTTGTTCTCATTGAAATGGGATGGAGGTAAAGGTGGAAGGAAAACCTGCCTTACACAGGATTTCCCTCAGGTGAGTCCGTGGCTTACCCTCTCTCTGTCCGGGCTGGAACTGGGGAGCCCACAGCAGTGGTGTTCAGTGCAAGGTTCATTGAATTCTGACTGCCCGGGTCCAGGGAAAGCCAGGGTCCGTCTGCTCGAATAGCTTCTGTGCCACGAGTCTGTCCTAGGTGATTAACTGTGGGTATTCCAAGGTGCCTCCTCCTGAATGCCATCTTCTGTCCTCGAGAGTTGTCCCTTTATTGTAATAGTCACAGTCGACCTTTGCTGTCTTTGTTACACTTTCTCATTAGCTTTAAAACAGTCCTGCAAAATGTAGAAGGTGTGTGCATCTTCTGGTTTTACCAAGTATGGAACGGGTTGAACTCAGAACAATTGCGAGGACGCTCCTCTAAGGTGGCCTAGTGCGTGCCTGCCACCTAGTGGTGGGATCCAGATTGCAGCAAGACGGTTGCCTTTGAGTTGCCAGACTAAGGAAATTTGCTTGGCTACTATGCTCTAAAATAGTTGCCTGGGTTGGGCTATAGCTCAGCGACACAAGCGCCTGCCTAGCAAGCCCAAGGTCCTGAGTTCGATTGCTGATACCAAAATAAAAATAAATAAATAAATAAAATAAAATAAAATAAAATAAAACAGTTGCCCTAGCACCCTTAGAAGTTTAAGATGGGATTTTTATTTTTGTCAGAGTCCTAGCATAAAAAAAAACATAGAGTCAGATACTGTGTCCTCTGCTTCTACAGAGGTAGCCTGAGGGCAATGGGTGTGTCTTCAGTGGGGAATTTTGAGGGCTGGGATCCCGAACACTCGGGGTCACCAGCACCCTGGCTGATAGGTGTGCCTCATTGTTTTCATTTTTAATTGTTTTTTGTTGTTGCTGTTGTTTTTTGGTACCTGAGACTCCTCTAATCTACACAAGGACCCCTTCTCATAATAATGTTTTTGCATATATGAAATAACATCCAAAAAAATCAAAGGAGACATTAAATACAGGTACCAAAATCTAAAGTGCAAATCTGTGATATAGTAATATATGTGTTGCTTGATTAACACATCAAATAACAAGGTTCAGTCGACAGGTCCAATAACCACTATTGTGTGGTAGCCATGAGCGTATTGGATTCTTCAACAACCATGTGTATGGAAATCACCATGATTTCCACTGCTGATGAGTGCTACTAATAACCCCACGATGTGTCGCCTATGAATTACCTTCGTAATGGAAGGAAACGCTAGCTTTCTTTTAGAGGCTTATGAAAATAGAGCTGTCAGTTTTCAAGTTCATGGATCACCTTCAGTCCTTTGTCCTCCAATGAAGGACCCCCGGTCTAGATCCAAATATTCCAAGTCACCTGGTGACGAAGGTAGGCTGGAAGCGTCCCCTTTCCTGTGTGTCTTGGGAGCTGGCCAGGGGTGCTGGATTTCTCAAAAACAGCTGTACCACCCTGGCCAGTGGCGGCAATGAGGACCGCACATGTAATTTAGCATGAAATGAGAAAAAGCAGATGAGATGAACTTTAATATACTTTTATTTATATATTCAAAATACTATTACTGTTTCATCATATAATCAGCATAATAATTATTTGTGAAATAGTTTGCATTCTTTTTTTTTCACAGAGATTTCGACATCTATTTTGTACTCAGAACGTCTCAGTTTGGGCTAGCCACATGTCAAGAGCTTACTGGTCACATGGTTGGGGGCTGTCTCACGGGGCAGCACAGCGGGTTGCTATCGTTAGGTTTGTGTTGTGCCGGGGCTGCGCAATGCTCCCTGTGCATGAAGGGGGTTCTGGGGACAGGAGAGAGGAGGGGACTCTCCCAAGGTCATGGTTACCTAGCTAGAAAGCAGAGTCTTGGTCAGTGCTGGTCTAATGGGGTACTGCCATCATGCTGCTCTATGCGAAGGACTTTGTCTTTTCAGCCCTGAGGCCAGGGAGGGAAGACCTGACTCCGGAGGAGAAGCCCAGCCTTGGGCCCCTCCAACAGGTAGTTAAGAACAAGGTTGGATGCATGGCTACAAAAGCAGAGCATAGGGGCACCTGGAGGGTGAAGGGCTTGCAGGACAAGCCCTGGGTCATCGCATCACACACAGAATGAGCACAATGCATGAGGACAAAATGAATCTCTTTTTGAGAAATTCAAGGTGGAGCACATTAAAAATCTGATTATTCCACAGAGGTCAAAAGGGGATGATTAGGAAATGGAGGGTAGAGATGATTGGTGATCTCAGTGTTCGGGGCTGAGGGCCTGGGGGCTTCTTTTCAGGTCTCCCGACTGAAGAACTGGACAGGACACACAGACAGGATAAACGGGAAGGGACCTTTAGTATCCAGAATACCTGGGTTGGCGCCTTCCTCATGCAGATACGGCAGTGGGACAGCTGTTTTATAAAAAATGAGTTGGGCCTCACGCCAAAAACTCATTTGTCTTCTCACCTGATGTAAAGGAAGGGTCAGGAAGATCCTCTTGGTTGATCATGCCCATATGTAAATGAGAGTGTGAATAGCGTCTTCTGATGGGTCCCACAAGCAGTGCTCAGGAGCTGTAAGTCCTGTGTAAGTCTAAGCCCAGACCTGTTTTGGGCCCAGCATTCTGCAAATGTCTTGTCTTGTCTTTTCGGTAACATCTCAATCACCTGGTTAGCTCTGCCTGGATTTCTGTGAGTGAGGATGCTTTCTGCTCAGCTGCTTGTTTAGTTTGCCCCATTCCGCATCTCTTAGCTCACAAGGAAGAGTGGGGGAAACGCCAGAATCCTCTGGTTCTTACCTGAACACAGATAAAGGAAGACACTGGCGATTGTCCTTTGTCCTCTGGGTCTGCCGCACACTTCCATGGTGCTGTGTGTGTAATTAACTGGGCATTGGTCAGCTTTCTGTCTCTGTGACAAAATACCTGAGGAAACAGCTTCAAGGAGGAAACATTTATTGCAGCTCATGGTTTCAGTCCCTCGTTAGCTGACTTCGTTGCTTCTGCCCATGGGGAAGAGGGACATGGAGGAGGAAAACTGCTCATCTCACGGAAGCCAGGAAGCAGAGAAGGAAAGAGCTAGGGAGGAGGCAGCTGGGGACCTGATACGGTCCCCGAGGTTGTGCCACTGTGGTCCATGTGCCTCACCTCCTATTTCCATCAACTCCCAGCAATGCCCCCAAATCCTCATCCCATCAGTGGGTTATGAAGTTAGAGCCCTTGTGATCCAGTCATGCCTAAAAACACCCATAGACCCACCAGAGATGTGCTTTGCTCACTTCCTGGGCGTTTCTCAAGCCAATTAAGGTGAGCTTTCATTGTCTGACTTAGAGTGGTGCCTCCTTGAGAGCTGGGGGTGTGTCTGCTCCTGCTAGTGACCTAGCACTTGGCTTGCAATGACCCTGCCCCCGAGCAGGTACCTGACAAACATTCAGAGAGCAAATGGGCTTAAAAGAACAAGTGATGGAAGGAAGAGTCGTGCATGCAGCATGGGACAGGCAGGCTTTGTCCTGGTGTGAACTGCAATATGCTTGGGAATTCGGGGGTTCTTTAGGGTGTCGGTAGGTCACTCCCTTCTGTCTGTGCTCTTTATCTGTGAAATGAGAATATATATATATATATATATATATATATATATATATATATATTCAGAGAGAGAGAGAAGATGGGAAATACAGAGATCTTTTTAAATTTTTATTTTATTTTATTTTTTTGTGTGGCATTGGGGATCGAACCCAGGGCCTTGTACATGCAAGGCAAGAGCTCTACCACTGAGCTGCATCCCCAGCCCTCAGAGATCTTTTCTAAATTTAATTTTTATTATTTATTTATTTAGTTTTTTTTTTGAGACAGGGTCTCTCTATGCAGTTCAGGCTGGACTTGAGTTCACTTTGTAGCCCAGATTGGTCTCGAACTTGCAATGATCCTCCTGCCTCAGCCTCCTGAGTGCTGGGATTACAGGTGTGCACCACCATGCCCTGCAAGAGATCTTTTTTTAAAAAATGGTTTGGGGAACAAGAGAAAGGGATGGGGAGGAAGGAAAGGGGAGGGAAAAAAAGGATGGAAAAGAAAAGAAATAACAAAAAAAATGAAAATGAAGCTTTTGCAAATGGGCCAAGAACCAAGAGTTGAAGGAGCCGGGAGGCAGTGAAGGGGCAGGGGACAAAAAGAATTAAGATGTATTCTATATGTGCCCCAACTCCGCATGAGTGTGGTCACTGTGTACCTCAAACAGGCACTAATAAGAAAATAAAGCCTAACACACATGTGAAGTGTGCCGTTTACTTTCAGTCCGAAGTACGACTAGGCCAACGTGGTGTGAAGAACTGATCCAGACAAACGTACTGTCAGATGCCCACACGGAGCCAAAAGGGAGAGGAGAGGAGATGAGAAGCGAAACAGGACAGGACTCAAAGAGCCAAAGCCAGCTTCAGCCAGGCAGGCACCGTGGTGAAGACCAGCACAAGCACGGAGACAGTTCCTGTCCGACTTCTGGTCGCTGTGCCTGCGGGTGCCGGGGCCTCGCTGTGCCCGCGTCTCAGCAGCGCACGGCCGCACCAAGCATCGCGGGAGGAGGTCAGACAGGAGTACGTTCAGCTACACACAATAGAAATAGAAACTCACAAAGACGCACAGTAGCTGGCTTAGGCAAGATAGACGTTTATTTCTCTTATAAAAGAGCTCTAAGGTTTGAAATTTCCGGGCTGACAGTTTGTGTATCACCAGCGACTCAGGCGTCTATGTTTCTATGTCCAACACTTGGTTTATATTTTCAAAATTGCATCATGGTCCAGGAAGGCTGCTGGAGCTCTGGTCGACAGCTCTTCATTCTAAACAGGAGGAAGAGAAGAAAGGCGTGCCTTATTCCTATTTAGAAAGATGGTCCAGAAATATCACATGACAGTTCTGTTCACATTTCATTGGGTAGAATGACTGTGTCTACGTCAGCCTCCTAGGGAGAGTAGGAAATGCGTTTTTTTTTACTTGTGTACAATCCTATTCCTAACAAAATAAGAAGTGTGCAAAGACAATACAAGCAAAACCAAGTGTGATGACCTTAATAAAGGAAAGCTGTTAATATAGTTTCAGTTTTAAAAACAACTTGATTGAGATATAATTAACTGATATATGATGAACGACACATTTAAAATGTGCAGTTTGATGTGCTTTTATAGAAGTGTCTAAGTGTGAGACCATCTGCCCTGATCATTTCCTGTCACTGGGGCAAAACGCACAACACTTGCCACTTAATGGAGGAGAGCTTTATTCCGGCTCATGGCTTCCATCTGTGGTCAGCTGGCTCCAAGGCCTAACCAGCACGGCAGAAGGAGGCGGCAGAGGAAAAGGTACTTATCTTAGTCACTTTCTCTAAGCCAATGCCCACGGGTGAAAAGAGGAGTATTTTGGCTCATGTTTCAGCCCATGGTTGGCTGGCTCCAAGGCGGGATGGGTGGCATAGGGTAACGGAGGAGTAATAACTACTCATTTCATGGCCTCCAGGCAGCAGGGGGCAAAGGGAGGAGCTGGAGAGGGAGAGAAATCCTTCCAGGCCACACCGCAGTGACTCATCCCTTCCGACCCCACCTCTGAACAGCAAGTCAGCTCTTTGCCCTCAGAATCCAGTCTCCATCCAAAAGCAAACGAGGCTCCTGGGGGACAGCTAGACATAACCTGTAACTTTCCATCCTTGGTCTCTAAAAGACTCACATGCGTCCCTCTGCCCATAATGCATCATGTCCATCTCTAAGAGTTGCCAAAGTCCTAACAATTTCAGCACTGCTGAAAAATCAAAGTCCAAAGTCTCCTCTGAGACTCAAGGCAAACTCCAGAGCCCTTGTAAACATCAAAAGGAAAGTTAAACATTCTCTTTCCAAACAGGAGAAGTAGAGGGAGAGAAAGGAATTGGACCAAAGGAAGACTGAACCCTGGCAGGCAAACACTAAATCCTGTAGCTCAGAGCAAGTTGTAGTCACGAGGTGTGAACTGCAAAGGGCTTGGCTGGCCCTTCCCACTGTGGTTTATTGTGTGAGGTACACATGGAAGCTCATTATTTTGCCATTGATATCCAGGAATTCTGCCACTGCTGTTGAAGAGACCAACCTTTCTCCACTGCATGCTTTTGTACTTCTGTGACAACATCTGTTGTCCACATACGTGGGTCTGTTCCTAGGCCGTTCTATACATTTGTTCCTCTTGTCATCCTTGTCACCCTACATATCTTGACTCCTACTGTTAGATTTATAATACGTATTTAATCATGTAGTGTTAGACCTCTAATTTTGTTCTTTTTAAAAATGGTTTTGTTGTTCTAGGCCATTTGCATTTCTTTAGGAAGTTTATTTATTTATTTATTTATTTATTTATTTATTTATTTATTTTGTTTCTGTTTTTTTGAGACAGGGTCTCGCTATGTAGCGGGCTGGTCTTGAATTCACTATGTAGCTTAGGCTGGCCTCAAACTCACAGCAATCCTCCTGCCTCAGCCTCCTGAGTGCTGGGATTACAGGCTTGCACCACCATGCCCAGCTTCTTCATGAATTTTAAAGAGCCAGTTTTACAAAAAAAATCAGATGGGACTTTCACTGGCATGGTGTTGAGCTCACAGATAAAGTTTTGAATGAGGTATAGATGTCCGTAAATTCTGATCTTTTAAAATGTCTCTCAGTTGGAAGAGACAGTATTAGACAAAAGGGAGGGAATAAAAGGGAACTGGAGAAGGCAGAAGAGAGGGCGACAGGAGGGTGGATATGATCAAAATATGTTATATACATCTGTGAAAACACCACAGTGAAATCCAGTATTTGGCAAACCTAATATGTACTGATAAATATATATTTTGAAAAAATAATTGAAAAATTATCTCAGCAATGTTTTATTGATTTCAGTGCACATGTCTTATACCTCTTTCATCAGCTGTATTTCTACACATTTCTATTCTAGGGTGCTATTGTAAATAATATTTCGTATTTATTTATTTATTTATTTTTTGTCTTTTTGAGACAAGGTATTGCTATGCAGTTCAGGCTGGCCTTGAGCTCACTTTGTAGCCCAGGCTGGTTTTGAACTTGCAACGATCCTCCTGTATCAGCCTCCTGAGTGCTGGGATTACAGGCATGTGCCACCCCGCCCGGCTGTAAATAATATTTCAAAAAATTCTAACTTGCAGCTATTTGTTGTTAGTATGTAGAAATACAATTGATTTTTAAACTATTTGGTTTTTAACCCGAAACCTCTATTTTTAGAGTGGCTGAAGGCGGAAGCTGAGGTAAAACCCTGGTTCAACTGTCACTTTTAATCAGAAGTTTTTAAGATTCCCAGATTTGCTTTTATCTTCTTGGCAGGTGTGGAAATCACCGGTTATATTTTTCTTGCTTTAGACGTTATATTTTGAAATGAACTTGTGTACTTGACGTGACAAAATCTAATGTAATCAACATCTCTAATCTTCTTCTAAACAATATGAGAGCTTTAGAAAGCCCTGCCCATCCGACCTGTTGTGATGCTGAGAATTTTAATCCCAGTTTGCACCGGTGCTTCTTACATTAGTCACCGCTTTTGTGTGTGTGTGTGTGTGTGTGTGTGTGTGTGTGTGTGTGCGCACGTGCTGTCAATGCCTATTTAGATTTCTTCAGATTTTGACTGACTGTTCATTATTTCATTTTGCACGGATGATCTTGGTTCTGGAGTCAGTTTCTCTCCTAACATCATTCTTCGGTCGTACTTTGCCAGAGGGTGTCGGCAGGGCACCGAGAGCAAATATCTTTATCATGCCTTCACTCCTGAAAGATGACTTAGCTGTTTCTCTCAACACCTTGAATAGCTTTTTCTCCTGTCTCCAGTCATGGTTTTAAGAGTCTTCCCTGTCTTTGACGTTCTGTAATTTGTCATGAAGCATTGAGATGCTGATTTGTTTTTACGTGTCCTACTCAGGCCTTGTGCATCCCGACTGGCCAGACCCACGTGTTCCACCTCGCCCAGAAACGTCATAGCTGTTACCCTTTCTAATGCTGCCGGCTCACCCGCTTTTGTGTGTGTGTGTGTGTGTGTGTGTGTGTGTGTGTGCTGTGCTAGTCTCTCCCTCGAAAGCTGTGGCCACAGGGCTGTGGGCACCTTAGCTCATTCCTCTATGGCTCTTGTGCTCTCATTTTATTTTTCATCTTTTTATCTCTCAAGGCTACATGATAACAAGGTTCCTCAGAATTTCCAATTCAGTTATTTTCAGCTGTGTTTAGCCTTGTGCGTCAGACTTACCCATTGAGTTTTTAATGTCACTAAGCACATTTATAGCTTTTACAAAAATGATTTCATTTATACTCCAATCTGCTTGCTGTTTTTTTCTACAGTGTCTTACATTTCAATTCCTTTTCTTGGCCCATGTAAAAATCTGTTTTCATATATGCTCAGCAATGCATTCATTTGAACTTTTGTTTTTGAGACAGAGTCTTGCTAAGTCATTTAGGCTGGCCTGGAACTCAGGGAGATCCTCCTGCCTCCACCTCCTGAGTGCTGGGATTACAGGCATGTGCCACCATGCCTGGCAACTCACCTGCACTTTTTAAAGGAAGTAGTTCAACTAGAATGTCTAGGTGTATTGTAGCAGGGAGGCTGCCAAGTGATGAGAGTGGAAAAGGAAAGGACCTTACAGGTTTTCTCAAATTTCTCCAGAGAAACTCTGCTTCATCCATGGGGTCAAGCGTCCTTTGGGGATCCCAGACTTCTGCTGCCCCAGCAATGCGTAGTGCCTGGGGACAGTGGGAGCTGTCCCTTCAAATAAAAATGTAGGCTCATGGAAGGCCAACGCAGTGAAAGGTGCCTTTCCTGTCTCTTCATGTACCACTGAAGAGTTCTTGTCCACAGACTCCATGCCCTGTACATGCTTGGTTGGGTCTCTAGACTTTCATGTCTCAGACTGTGTTAGCATGGGGGGTGCTGGTGTATTTATTTGCCTTTGTGGTACTGGGGAATGAATCCAGAGGTGCTCTACCACTGAGCTACATCCCCATACCTTTTTACCTTTTAGATTTCAAGACAGGGTCTTGTTAAGTTCTGTTGGTTAGTCTCAAACTTATGATCCTCCTGCCTCAGCCACTCTCAAAGTTGGGATTACATATATGTGACACACGTTTGTTTGACTTGTGATCCTCCTGCCTCAGCCTCGAGAATGTTGAGATTTCAGGTGTGCACCAGCCATACACTGGTGCACATGGGCTTTTAAAGAGTGCCATGGATGTTTGTGTTTTGTTCGTGGCAGTCTGGCCTCTGTGTGGTTGTCACCTCTCTGCCACCCATTGGGAAACCCAGAGCCAACCATAGTCCAGCTCTTTAAGAAATGGCCACTAGATGGTGGCAGTGAGTCACAGTACACGCGTGGGCATAACCTTCAGAACAGCTGGAGAAGAGCCAGCTGACACACACTAGGGAACATGTCCCTGGGGCCAGGTGCCGTGTCAGCCCTGAGACCTCAAGAACCTCATAAGTGGCCTGTGGTCACCTGAGTACAGACACAGCTGTCCTGGAGACAGAAGGGGACTCAGGCAACTTCCACATCTGGGGATGTCCACAAGGAGGACAGGTGACACCTTCCCTACAGGACTTGTTAGTGACAACATCACCAGGGCTTACCAACCACCTCCTCAATCTACCTCTTCCCATATTGTCCCAAAGCCACAGTCTCATCTTTCCCTCCTAGTCCAGCTTGGCAACTGACTGCTTGCGTGACCCTGGATGAACCATGATCTCCTCCTTCATCTCTCTATTAGAGGATGATGATACCGAGTCCTTAGCACTTCACTAAGTAAAATAATGCAGGCCAATCTGCTTTGAGAATTCCTAAGATCCATGTATTTATGAGGCATTAAAATAGATAATAAATTAATGAATGGTAAGGAATACTTTAACAATGAATTGATGAATATGCATTTTCCTAAAATTCCTTCAGGGCCTAGGAAGATTGGGGCCACTGTGGACATTTATTCAATTGACCAGGAGGTAAACTCTTCCAGAAGGGAACAGTCACCACTAGCTGAAGTCTAGCAGGCTGGTGCAGCCCAACCTCAGAGCCCAGGAAACAGCAACGTCATTAAAGAGGTGGCTACTGAATGCAGTGCCCCAACCCTGGCCAGAGGCCAGGCAGCCTGGCATCTGAGGAGTGGCCCCGTGGTCCCTCTGTCTGGGATGAAGGGCCCCTTTCTTTCTCCTCTTCCAAGATGGAGGGCAGAGTCAAGCCCTGTGGGAGGAGGTGCCCTGTCCAACCCTGAGACAAACACCCGAGCAGGACAGCCGCTGGCACCCTCAGGGCCAATGTGATACAGAAACTGAACGGCTGGTGCTGGCTTTCCCACCCATC